TAATTATCAGCAAAATGATGAATATATATAAATACTTATCTGCAAAGCAACTTAATGATCTAGATGATGTTATGTCTGAAAAAATTGTTGGCAGAAAACTCTGTCACGAATGTTATGATAGTGATTGCTCAAGGTCTGTCATCTATGATGGTAGAGTAGAAAAATTAAATAAAAGACAACAAGACAAAATTTACACTATTTCTTATTGAAAACAAGATGAAACTGATTATGAAGCAGTTGAACATAAGATGAAAAAAATCTCGCTGCTGATGTTGTATTGGAAGAATTAATATTTTTTTAATTTGAATTTGAAAATAATATGTGCCACACCTCGGGTTTTGTGGCTTGTAAAAGGTTCCTGCAAGATTTGTGACTTGCAAATAGATATTGCAAGTTTTGTGGCTTGCAAATAGGTACCGCTGTTTTTGTGGCTTGCAAATAGGTACCGCTGTTTTTGTGGCTTGCAAATACATATCACAAGTTTTGTGGCTCGCAAATAGGTACCACAGGTTTTGTGGCTTGCAAATAGGTATCGCAAGTTTTGTGGCTTGCAAATAGGTACCACAAGTTTTGTGGCTCGTAAAATAAGTACCAAAAGTTTAGGAAGTTGCAAAATAAGTACCACAATTTTTGTAGGTTGCAAATTAGTTACTGCAAGCCCTATGTCTTACATAAAAAAGTACTGCAAGTTTTGTGGCTTGCAAATATGGTAGAGCAAGTTTTGCGGCTTTTAAATGTCTTTGATAGACTGCTTTGGCTTACATTTAGGTAGTGTCTATTGTTTAAAATGATTTAATTTCATTCACTACCAGAATATAAAAATTAAATCATTCATTAAAAGTCAAGACAAGAGTTAATTACATTTTTTAATTCAAAACACTTGTGTTTTTTTTAGGTTAGAGTGGATAATCCTTTCCTTTGCATGACAATATATATACTTAGACCAATCTTTTAATGTGGTAAAATTTTGTTTTTTATTCTATTTTCTCTCTATTTAAAAAAGATTTTTTACATTTTTTGTTAAATTCTCATGTAAAATTTTTTTTTTTTAGATTCGGGGCGAAAGAGGGGTGGAAGGGGGCGGCATCCCCTCCCTTAAAGTCAGTTTTTACACCACCAATTACTATTTTTAAAAAAATTAAAATATACCTTTTATTTTTTATAATAGATCTTAATAAAGGTTGAATTTCAATTCATTTTAGTAAAAATTGAAATATTTAAACAAATAGAATTTTAATAGGGTGTATTAAACCCACAACCTAACACCCAACTTTAAGATAGAACTTTAATATTTGCAAGTGATGCGGAATAAAATAGTAACAACTTGATATATATAAATATTACCAATTTTGTAATCATTTCTCAAATTTCATAAATGCAAGGCATTTAAGAAATTTGAGAGCATGTCATATTTCCTTTTATTGTGTATGTGAAATCGTTTTTTAAATTGATGACTATATATTAATTTTAACATATTTACGCTTTTAATATAGAATTAAAACTGATATGTAAATATTTTTTACAAAAATACAATAAAAAAACCAAATGAAGTTCCTTTGTATATTTACTCCGAATGCAAGTGTATATTCAATCTAAATCAAGCCGCGTTACCGCGTATGACATTTAAAAAGAATTTTGTAATTTTATTTCAACAAAACTTTTTAATTAAATCGATGCCAAAAAACTCTTTTGATTACCCATCTGGTACCCAGAACAAATTCCAGCCCGAACCCTTTCCCAGTAATCCCAGCTCAATCCCAGTAGAGACCCAGTTGGGCTGGTTAACTGGGACTGTTCCAAACTTAAAGTAATATCATTACTTTTGTGTAATTCTATTACAGTACCTCAAGTTTTTGTTATGGAGCACACCCTGAAAATCGAGCACACCCAGAAAATTTCACGTTGATTGTTTTTATACTTTTTAAGAAAATCTATTTTAAGTTTTGTGCAATATCTAAAAAACAATTCTGGAAAAAAACACATTTAAAAAACATATAACAATATTTTCTAACATTTTTCTAGAGAGAAAGATTTTCCACCATCAACAGCTGCAAGTGTCTCTAGTTGATCGGTTATAAGAAAATATATTGCATAATAAAAAAAATAGTAAAAATATATTAAGTATATAATATATATATATATATATATATATATATATATATATATATATATATATATATATATATATATATATATATATATATACATATATATATAAATATGTATATATAAATATATATATATATATATATATATATATATATATATATATATATATATATATATATATATATATATATATATATATATATATATATATATATATATGTATAAAATATATAAAAATATATTTAAAAATATAAAATGTAATATTTTGTATTTTGTAATAGTACAAGATTTTTCTAGATTTTTATAAAAATTAAAAGATGATAAATTTTGATAAATTTTGGAATTTTTAAAGGAGCTTTGTCTCGTTCAAGCGGTACTGGTTATAGAGTGTAGGGTAGAGCGGGGCTAGTTGAACAGTTTTTATTAAATCTAACAGATCTCATGAACAATGCGTTGAATTTACAAAGCTTTTGTACTATTGGAACAATAATTTAACCTGCTAAAAGTCAGGTAACAAATAAAATAAAAGTATATTAGATATGTTTGATAAATAAAAGTATGTTAGATTTGTTTGAGTTGATGTTACATAAAGTTTACTGAGCTGCTTAACGTCACTTTTCTTGATTATTTTCTAAAAAAATGCTTTATACTTTTGGATATGATCATAATAGATAGTAGTGCATTTGTTTTTATTAGTGTTTAATCTCAATATTTTTGTGCATATTTCGAATTGGCAAAGGTAGGTTAGTTGATTGAATTGGCAAAGGTAGGTTAGTTGATTGAATTGGCAAAGGTAGGTAGCTAATATAAAAGAACGTTGCAGTATAGTATGCATGACTATGCACTTGATGATAACAACAACAACAATACAATAACAACAAGATATTTATTTTCCTCAAAATTTACAATCATATAATTACAATAATATATTAATAATAATACTGATAATAATAATAATAATAATAATAATAATAATAATAATAATAATAATAATAATAATTATAAATGGTAAAAAAAAAAAAAACACTAAAGAACTATATATTTTAAAGGAGACCATTATTCAAAAATTTGTATTTTGTCTCATTCTTACGGAAAGTTGCTCTTAAAAATTACTTTTGATTCAGCCGATATTGTTAGATAAACCTTATTTTAGCGCAATTGGAGGTCTTAAAGATTTCTTAACCACACATGCACTAACGTTTATAAACTTGTAGCTTTTATATATCGGTCAATAAAGAATAAAAAAGCCGGCTCATTATTGGTAGTGCAGCCAATTAATGTAGATTCTATCCATTAATTACGTTAACAAAATAGGGGAAGGGGTCTGGAAATTTTTGACAATTTTTGATAAGGGGGATGGGGGAGATCAAAAAAAGTTTACGTCAACAACGTTGCTTTTTTAAATAAATTTAGTTACTTTGTTACTTGTCATGCATATTTACATAGTTACTAGTCATGTTTACTGGCCGAGAAAAAAGGTATCAAAATAAGAGTATTACATGTCAGTATCAGACGGCCTGCCACTTGCAATCAAAGCTGCTCATTCAGAGAAAGGTCTTGGAGTTTTTATCTCAAATAATGTTAAAAGTAATCCAAATAAAAAGTTTTAGCAGCTGCGGTGAACGCTAACCGCTCCTTAGAGAGGCTGAAAAAAACTTTTCGCAGCCGTAGTTTTTCATTGTGGAAAGAAGTGTATACCACGTATGTTCGTCCTCGCCCAGAGTACGCTATCCAAGCCCAGACAGCAAGCTTACATTGGCCCAACGTAAGTTTTAACATTGGCAAGCTTATTCCGTTGGGCCAACATTTAGCCAATGTTTTTTTTCGGCGTATTATTTCCCAGACAGCAAGCTTACATTGGCCCAACGTAAGTTTTAACATTGGCAAGTTTATTCCGTTGGGCCAACATTTAGCCAATGCGTATTTTTTTCAATTCTGCAAATCGGTTTTTTGCAAATATCGTGCTTTATTGGGCCAACATTTAAGCAATGCTTTTTTTTCGGCGTAATATTGCAATTCAACAAATCGGTTTTTTGCAATTATCGTACTACGTTAGGCCAACATTTGGCCAATGTAGTTTGGGCTTAATATTTTGCTGTTCTTACATTTATACCGTCGGCCAATGTAGTTGCGGATTATCATATACTTTAAAATTTGTTGCAAAACATTTTTAAAAATGGCATCGTTTGACAGAATAAAAAAAAGTTTTGATATTATCTTTCCATTTTTTTAAATTAGAAAAATAAAAAAAAGAAGGTATATTTATTAATCTTCCGAGAATCTTAAAAGGTTCCTTATCAGAAATAAATTTCAAGAGATTCTCGTGACTTAATGTTTTTTTTTTTTAAATAATGAAATATTTGTAAACATTTAAACGTAATGCTTAAAACATTTTTTACTACAATCTAAATTATTAATGTAACAATAAAGGCAATAATCAAATTATTTTTGTGTAAGATCCTAAAGTTATTTTTTTTATTTTTATTGCTGTATTGGCATTTCAAATGTTTGATTTATTTAATAATCTTTATTAAATAAATGAAACATTTCAAATGTTCGATTTATTTAACAAAGAAGACATTTAAATGTCTTCTTTATGTAAATCGAAGATTTAAAATGTCACACAGTATGAGTTTTTTTTTTCATAATTTGTTAATAATAGTTTAGATTGTATAGCTATTATAAAATATATTATTAAAGGTATCAATAATACATATGTGGCATTGAAGTTATTTTAAATTAGAAGCTGATATTTTACATTTTAAGTATGACTCTTTTGTTTGATTTTTTCTGTGTTTGATTGTGAAAGTCTATCTACTAATATATTAAAACTGTACAAAAAGTGATGTTACTAGAATTTATATTCTACTTATGTAGAGCTTTCTAATATTGCCAGACATTTTATTTTAAGACCAATGACTAGTCTATAATAATTAATTGAATTATGAGATTAAATCAATAAATAATCATTAAAAACAGTAAAGCTACAGCTACGCAGCCTAAAATAATTGTATTTTTGCGCTTGTTGTGCCAGGGAATTTTGCTACATCAACTATCTTATAGCCTGCTGCTACAAAGAAGTGCTGCTACATCGAATGAGGGTTTGGCATGGGCTAGCAATCTTTTTTCACTTTATTATTTCAATTATATTCCTATTGTTTGTAAAGCCTCTACTGACAAGCGGAAAAATAAAATTATTTTAGGCCGCGTAACTGTAGGATTACCATTAAAAACAATTAAAATAAAAAAACTCAATTTAAATCATTATTTTTATTTGTCATGATTTAAATCGAAACAACCCTTTAAATATTCCATCTTTCTGAGGCAGAGGGACATAATTCTTGGTTTTATTATTTTTTAATTTAATATCTCTGGATATTTTATATATTTAGTGTGCGTACAACAGTTAAAGATTTTTAAAGCAATACAAAATTAAACTTAGCAGAAGGCATAAACTTCTACTCTGGAGAAAAAAAAGGAAGACAGCGAAAATGACAAAGAGACAAAAAATTGTGTATATCTTGGTGTAGATGATTTATCCTCAATTTCTTATAATAAAACAAAAAATATTATTAAACTTTGAGATTTACCTGTAACTCGAAACTCTTTACAGAAGTTGAATGAACAAAATCTATTAAATGGTAAGTTTTTATATAAAAGTCTTTACGTCTGATGATTGAAAATCTTTATTTATAGCTTTAACTTTTACAATTTCAAAGACTTTTTCATATATTACGGTCAAAAAGTCAGAGTGTTAATTAACATTTTATTGTGTAATAATCAACATGTCAAAGCTTACACCACAGGCTTGGTCAGGAAGCAGGAGCAATCGTTCTCGAATACTGACCACAGAAAATATATTTAGTTGTAAAAAACTGGCCAGGTTTTTTAGTTGTTTTGAGAACATTTAAGTTTATGAACGTAACAAAAATTTCTTGTTGGATTTCAAAGTTGGTGTCACCAACTTTGAAAACCATTTGAAATCAAATGTTGAAAAAAACAACAGTATTTGTATTATATCAGTATTCATATCAGTTTATAGTTTTAACAGTTGATGGTGATTCATTTTTACTCATTATATAAACGTTTATTTAAATGTATCTATTAGACGAAGGTAATAAAATATTTTTATAGATAATATTACTTTTAAAAATAGTGTTATTAAAATTCAGAACTAAAATATGTAAAAAAAATTATTTACAAACATTGAACAAGGTCCATACTGTACCTTGAAAATCTGGAAAATTTGTTAATATTGGCTAAAGTCGTGTAAAACCTGGAAAAGTCAGGGAATTATTTTTTTCTTCAGATAGTTAGGAAAAATCTGTAATTCTAGTTAAGAAGTTACTCGTTTCACAATTGAATGCTGTATACGTGATGACTCGTTTCACAATTGAATGCTGTATACGTGATGAGTCACACTTTTTTTAAAAGTAAGGTTATTGTAAAAGAATTTTTTTTTTTTAGGAAAAGATAAAATTATAAGAGAAAATAATTTTTTTTTAAAAGATTTTTTTAAATTTTTTAAAATTTTTTTAAAAAGATTTTTTTAAATAAAAGAAACAATTTTTAGATAAAATAAAAATAAAATTTTCTACTGGAGAAATGTTTTTCACTCTCTTATAAAATTTTAATTTTGTGACTTGTCACATTTTCAAAATACAGCGCTCAATTAAGCTATTATGTTTTTTTTGGTGCTACCCATTTATTTTTTCTGAAACTTTTATTTTTCTTAGTGTTCATTCTTAGTCATCCTTAATAATAAGATCCATACTAAAATGTATAATAAGCTTTATACTAATATCCAACTTAACTAATAGCTAAGTTTTATAAGTTTTGTCATTCAAAGCATGTACAATCTTAGCATTTCCATTACATTAGATAGTAATTTTAAACATTTTGTAAAAAAGATTGTTAAAAATGGTCAAGAAAATTCATCTGATTTTCATGTCATTGAACTTTATATAAATAGTTGGCTACAAACCCTGTTGGAGAAACATTGTTTTAATATGAATTTTTTTGTTTTACAGTGCAATTTGTATCTTAAACATTAACGAGAATTGTTTTGTGTCATTGCCAGAAATTAAATGCACACCTGCAAATTTCATAATTCATAAAAATATTATGAATTCATTAGCAAGTATATATTTTTATCATTAAAAATTTGCCCCTCTGTCTTTAATTTTATCTGTTTTATTAGTGATTGTTGTATTTACTTTCATAAATTCTAAATATAATATGTAATTAGTTGTATAGTTTCATAATAATATAATTAACTTTATTGTTTCAAGATAAAGTTGTATCCTTGAAAGATATGCTGGTATTATTGGCATAATGGACAAGCATTGAAATGCAACTTAGTGAACTACAAAACACATCGAATTCAGTTATAAAATTGGAGTAACAAAGGTATGCTAATTATTGTATTGCCTGAGCGAGTGTCATTGCCGTTAAAAGAAGTGAAGAATTCAAGTACTCTGGAAAAAAAAGACAAGAAAATACTTAAGTAAATGGTAAATATTTTTTTATGATCAGTTTATTCATTTTTTATGATATCTTAGCACAATTTAAAATACTTTAAACAAAATACTCTTTAAAGATTTTTTGTAAATGACATTTTATATTAATTTCAGTCTAAACAAAAGTTACTTTAATTATTGCCAGGTTGTGTATTTTTGCAGGTCATTTATTTGGCACAAATTGGAGTTAAAGACGAAGGAGATTGTATATGTTATTTACTAAGAATAGGTTTTTAAAATGGCCTAGCTGTAAAATTAAACTATGCAGAGAGAGGACAAAAAATTGGAATTTGAAAAATGTTGATTGCATATGTTGCTATTGGTAAGTGATTTAGAAAAGTATATTTTTTCAGTTTCAATTTTGCATTACAGAATTACTTTTAATTTGTTATATTTCTTTGGTGCATAATTAAACAAACAACTATTTTTTTTGCAGAAACTGTGAAGTCAAATAAGCATGGCTTTTGCAGACATGTGATAGAGATAGCGGAAGAAAAAATAATAATCGTGGGTACCAAATATCATAAGCTAAACACGATTCAATAACAAGTAGCTCAGCCAATATAGAAGCTACTTTATAAATTTTATTGTGAATTTTTTTATATAAAACTCAATGTGTCAGTTTTGGGTTTAAGTTTGGTGTTTGCAATATGTATATATAACCGAATAATTATGTTAAATAAATAAATTTTTATACTTGAATCATACATTCTTTTTTTTCTCTATAAATTTTCAAAATTTTTCAAATTATCTTATTTGTAACAACGATCTAATGTTGCATAAAATGTTAGGCTGATATATAACATACGATATTGGGCCAATGTTGTATACAACGTTAGGCCAATTTTGTATACAACGTTGGGCCAATGTCGTATACAACATTGGCCTAACGTTATATACAATGTTGGGCCAATGTTGGGTTAACGTTGTATACAACATTGGGCCAATGTTGTACACAACGTTGGGCCAATACCTAACCAATGATCAAACCTGCATTGGGCCAACATCGACTTTCAACGTTGCGCCAATGCATCATCATGCATTGGCCCAACGTTGGCCCAATGTAAGCTTGCTGTCTGGGAGTGTAGTTACCTTATCAACGGGCAAACTTAGAAGCGCTAGAAAAACTTCAAAACCGTGCTACAAAAATCATTTCTGAGATTAGGCGTTGCACCGCCGAACAGCAAGAAATTAAGTTAGGTCTAAGATCGTCCATAAATTATGTAACGAGAAATTAACTTAAAGAAAAAAGACAAAGGATTAAAAGTTTTTCATCACAGAGTGTTAAATCAAACTAAGTATATAAACAACATTTCAAGTCCAGAAAAACCGCCACACAAAAGAGAAAAATGATCTCCTACTTATATATTTAAATAAGTTTTGCGTTGCGTAATTTATGGACGATCCCCTACGACACTTGAAGAAAGAAGAATAAGAGGTGATTTAATTCTGATGTTGAAGTTCAGGCGTGAATTTGATGAAATAAACTTTCACGTACTATTTAATCTTTCTTCGTCATCAAAGTATATTATGTGTGGTCATAATCAAAGACTTGCACAGCAAAGAGTACTCGATTGCATGCCAAGAGAAAAATTCTTCTCGTACTGTGTTGTGTTCCAGTGGAATACCCTGCCGCAAAAAGTAATTAACGCGACTTCCGTCAACATTTTCAAAAATCGATTAGATGAGCATTTAAATAAGTTAAAAGAGAACTTTTAAACGATAACAGGAAATAAATTCTCTCCACATATTTTTCCATTATTCTATTATGTTCTTAAAGTATGGTATTTGTGTTGCAGATGTGCAGAAACATCTTAAGACTGTTAGTATAGAGGTGCCTGATGCACCATATCTTAGTTGGTAATTCATGATTTTTTAAAATTATATAAATTTATTACGGATTGTTGTAAATATTTTAAATTATTGACCACTAAAATAAACTAAAACTAAACTTTAAAAATGGAAAACTAGGCAGCGTTTGTAGTCTTGTGTTACATACTAACCCAACCTTTAGTATTTTAATAAAATTTTCTATATTATAATTGTTTTAAACCGTGTTGAACTTTAAAAATTCCTGATACATACAGCACTGAATGAGCACACAAGAGATGTTTACTCATAAAACTATTATTTTTTCAAAGTTTGTGTTTCTTGGCCTGATGTAAAAACAAATAAAGATTTATTTGTTTTTACATCAGGCCAAGAAACATAAAAAATCTACATTATATTATTTAAATTTTTATTCCATAATTGCCAACCTGCTGCTTGCAAGCAAGTTGTCGACCCTGGTATAACCATTTGATGCTAAAATTTCAATATTATAATGCTAAATGCTCCAGCTCGATGCATAAATACTATTATAATGTTGAAAACAAGATGTTAATAGCTCTTTAAAAACTGGAAAATTTTTATAAATTATAAACTTTGGGTCTTCCGTCTTAAAAGATTGCTAACCCCTTGTTTATACAAATTATCAAATGTATTATTTAGTTGTGCTAGATTTTATTAGAATCAGTTTGCTTTTAATGTGGAATTAGATTAGGTCTAAAGTTAAAGTAAGGAGGATTGGCACATTCACATTTTGCGACTCTGCACTGCACATAAATTATGATAAAAATATTATGATAAGTATTTAACATTATCTTGGAGAAGGTCTGTTGGGCACGTTGGTTACTACCGTTATCCCAAAATACCTAAATGTTAACGTTATCCATGGAAAAACAATTTAAAGATCTTATCAAAAAAAAATTAAAGTTACGATATTTTTATCACAGTAAGTATTTCGGAAAACATCGAGGAAAACATCAGAAAACATTTCGAAAACTCTCCTCCATCAAAGTTTTAATGTTTCTCTTTGTTCTTTTAAGTTCCATAACTGGAACAATTTTTTTTATTAATAACATAATGTCGACTTGTAGTTCTTCAATAAGTTGAGTGAATTTAATTTTTTTTTCCTTTTCTATCATGCACTAAAAGAAGTTTAAACCAATAGTGTTGCATGTAGTAATCACTTTTATTCCTATTCGCTTTTTGTTCAGAGCAAGTCTTTGTAATTATAAATGGTTATATATATTTAAAAAATGTCTATTTTTTAGTTAAAAGTTGAATTAAATTTTTTTTGTAAACATTTTACTTTTAAACAGTTTTTTTTGAAGTTGTAAACTACTCCTACTACTACTAATTAAAAATGTTCAATTTTTTTTCATTTTTTTTTTATTTAACATAAGAAATAAGGAAGGAGGAGGGGGGGAGGAGGTAAAACAATTGTTGACGTAATTTTATAGAGGGGTCTCTGAAAGTTTGACAAGTTATTGACAAGGGGTTGGGGGAAAGTAAAAATTGCCTAAAAACTGTTAATGGACAGCCCTGTATTTTGTATTATTTAGGGTAAAAGCATGAAATTTGGGGGGCATGTTGATAAAGTTAAAACATTCATTTTAAGACTCAGACCCATGGCCCTCACAAGGTGAGGGAAAGGTTTTTTTGGACCGTTTGTGGACCATTTCCGCGTTTTCCTTATAATTTTTACAGTTTATTGGATTGTTAAACATAATTTGGTCAGTAATTTTTGGCTTTTAGTCCCCATTAACAATTCACAAGTCAAGAATTAACAAGCCAAGAGCAATAAAAATTATTTAAAAATGAAGCTATGATAAAAAACAAAAATGCTTTAATAAATAAAAATTATCATACAAATAAGGACACTATAATGTTTGCTTTAATCAAGGAGGTATAATAGACTGGGGGGAGAACGAAGTTAAAACACGTCATTTCTCAAGGAAATTCTAAGTAGTAACCGCGTAATTATCATAATTTAAAGTTAACCAATCACATTTCACTTTTAACAACAATTAACCAATTGGTTTAAACATCATAAGCAATTGAAGCGTTGCACAGTGGCCAAAATACCAAAAAATCAATGTCGGCATTGCACGGCAATGATATATAACTAGATGTATAACTTCATTCCGAAAAGTGAAGCCGCGTTTTGCCTATTTTACAAATGGCGGATTAAATTTGTAAACAAATATTTTTAACTTTTCTTTTTTTAAATGAAGTAAACATATTTTAATTTAAATACAATTTACGTCAAAGTATTAAGCGGAAATTATAATACTTGTAAAATAATAATTTATGATTCCTTAATTTATTTTCGATTAAAAGGGGATTAAAGTTTTGAATAGAAAAGTAAAACGACAAACGCTTTTGAAGCATTATTATGAAATAAAATACTTTTTAATTAACATAAGCTCATAACCTTTACTATTAAATATCAGATAAACCAACTTCCAATATCTTCCAAACATTTGATAATGTAAATCTCATGCTAAATGTATGTAAATAGCCATGCATCATAAATATTTTGCAACATTTTGGAATAAAAAAAGTTATAACAAAACATTGGTTTTCGGTTAATGGTCAGCAAAAAAGATGTTTCGTACACAAAGAAAATTTTTCATTATTATTATAATATAAAAGCTCTGTAAATATAAATTTAAAAAAGTTATTTTATGACAAATACATGTATTGAAAAGTAATATTTTTGATTTTTACACTGATAAAAGTTGTCTTATCGATTAAAAATATTTCGTACTTTTCAGCAAAATTTAATTTTTTAAATTTTTTTTTAATTATTATATAATTACATAATTAATATAGCTATTCTAATAAAAAAACCACGAAAAAAATTTTGGTTCAAAAAACTTGATTTTGTCCCACTGTGCACTGCGCGTTGCAAATAAAAGATAGAACTTTAAAAAAATTCGTAAACAATATTTAAAATTAATTTGTTGTTATTTTTTTATGCTTTGCTTCTTGAACGACTAGTAATAAAAAAAAAGTTTCTAGATAAGAATTTAATCAATAAATGTCTAGATAAGAATTGTTAGTATTTTTGCCGGAATTACAAAAAGGTATTTATATCTCTATTAAAAATCTTATATATCTAATAAAAAAATAATAATATAAATAACAAGGTATATATATATATAACATACATATATACCACGTATGCAAATGATTTTTATGTGTATTACACGTTCAGAAAAAGGTAATCGGTGACAAGAGTGACTTAAATCTTCTACGAGCTATACGAGCTATACGAGCTTCTACTTGCTCTTTGTGAGACTAATTTGAGTTCGGCTGTCCCATCTTGTGATCTTAGTGTTGATGGTTATCTTCCTTTAATTCGTAAAGACTCCAATAATCACATGCTTGGCCTGGGCATCTACATTCGTAAGAACTCACCCATTTGTCGTGAAACTAGGTTTGAATCTACAGACTATTCATTTATGTGCTTTCGTTTAGCACAACTTC